CAGACTGTTTTCACACCTTTAATGAATCACAGTTCTGAGAAAAACACTGAGCAGTGCGGAGAAAACACAGCAAAAATGACCTTTGCTTGCATAGCCGCGCGCAGTTGGAGTCTCTCTGTTCATTAAAATCATCCAGCTCTACATCTGCACAGATGGAGAGAGAGCCAGAGGAGGCCTGTATGTAAGGGAAAGGGGTGACAGTCCTGTCACAGTGCTAAAAGTGCCAGAGTTTGACCGCACAGTGAGTTTCTCATTAGATCCTGCCTTCCCACGTGTACACAGAGCTGCCCGCTTACACCCTCCCTTCCTCTCTCTCTCTCTCTCTCTCTCTCTTGGTGGAGAGGCTATAAATATATCCCAGTGATGACTCATATACCAGACATATCAATATCTCTAACTACACACATACGTTGGGTTTCTATGTTTTATGGGGACTTTCCGTTGACATAAATGATTTTTATACTGCACAAGCTGTGTATTCTGTCCCTTACCCCTAAACCTACTCGTCACAGAAATCTTTCTGCATTTTTACATTTTCAAAAAAACACTTGGTATGATTTATAAGCTGTTTTCCTCATGGGGACCAAAACATGTCCCCACAAGGACAAGGAATTCGGATACCACACACACACTTCAGTCAATCAGTTTCCCTGTCTGTCTCTCTGTCTGTCTGTATATCTGTCTATTTATCTGTCTGTCTGTCTGTCTACCTGTCTGTTTGTATCATCCTTCCTTCCTTCATTCCTTCCATCCATCCATCCATCCATCCATCCATCCATCCATCCATCCATCCTTCCTTCCTTCCTTCCAATGTTTATAGGTAAAATAAATATGAAATGTGAGATTTGACAACCCAATGACCCATTTTGTACGATGTGAAAAGTAAGCAGGAAGGGCCTCCCCTTAACCCCTGCCACTCTTTTCCTCATGGAGACAAAAAAATGTCCCCACAAGGACAAGGATTTCGGATACCACACACACACACACACACACACACTCACACTCAATTCTTCACTCCAACAGAACACACAGTCTTACACCAACCGCTGCTGTAGTTTGAAATTATGAAATACTAAAGATAGTATTTACAATCTTTGTCATATTAAGTCTTGGATTGCATCTCTTCTTTATTTGTTTCATTACTATTTGTAGTGTTTTCTTATACTTAGAGACTTGAAGAATCCCTTAACCAGGGATGAACAAATATCCATCCATCCATCCATCCATCCATCCAATCTACCCTGTCAATCTACCATATGTATATGGATACGTTTATTTGTCGGTGTGTCAATCAGTTTCCCTCATCTTCCCCTGATGATTATTTTGTTGATTGCTTTTCTTCTGATTTGTCATTCTCCATTTTTCACTGCTAGTGTCACAGATGGAGAAGAGCAAACACATCCTGACAGTCAGTCTGCTCTCACACACACACACACACACTATGGAGTCTGTAAAAACCCTCTCTCTTGTGTAAACTGCCGATGTGTGACTTTTAGTGTGGTTCAACATCTGGAATTTAAAATCAAAATTTAAATATGGAAATGAACATTGTTTTTTTCTCAGTCACTTTGGTACAAACCAGTAAGTTCATTTCTCTAAACAATTCGTGCAAACAGTACCACACAAAGGACTAATTGCAAAAGCCGGCTTGTAATGAATGACAAGTCCTTGTTTTACTGTTTACATACAATATAGTCAAAATGCTTAATCATGTTTCCATATTACTGTTCTCTAGCAGTATTTTCAGATGTAAACTATGGCTACGTTTTTGATGACAATGATTGAAAATGCAAAAGACTGCACTTTATGTATGGTAAATTTCAATACGATGTGGGATATTGATGGCAAGACACTGGACAGGATACACAGTTACACTTTTACCATTGATCTATCAGCAAATTACAGTACAATGTCATTGCAATATAAGGAAAAAGACAAGACTATATATACACCCACGCACACACACTGTATATATATAATATATGTATGTGTGTGTGTGTTTGTGTTACATTATGTCTTTATAAAGTATATTTACTGCACAATGTAAAATGCAAGTGGACTACTGTAATCTAGTATGACTGTATAGTGAACATGGTCTGATTACGTAACTGTTCTGTCTACAAACGTTTGAATGATTGAGGATATTCGGCTGTACCTTTCGACCCGCCTCGGCCATAAGGTCATAATTGAGAATGTGGTCCACAATAGTGGCCCTTATTTAATTAGAAACATGTCTGCAGTCTTGGCCTCCTCTACCTCTTCCACTGTTTTTCCTCTGTACCCTTTCACCACACGTCCGTACTCCTTCTTCCCAGCTGTTGACCCTGCTTGTTTCCTTGTTGTTCTTCCATTATAAGAAATTGTAACTCTGTGTTGTGCCCGGTCTATATAACTGGTTGATCTAATGCTTTGAATTCCCCTTTATTAGTGAAATTGAAGATTCACCTGCGCAATTCATCAATTCGCGACAAACCTGAGACGTTATCATTCTACTGTAAATCAACTTGTCACTCAAATGATGTTGATAACACAGTTTTGAGATTAAGTAGCATTTAATTTAAATAGAAAGTAAGTTCACATGTTTTTAGACTTTTGGACCCCATTGTGAGAGGAGTACTGAGACACTGACAGTAATCCATACTATTGATTTGCTGAGTTTTTTAATAATGGGGTTTTATTGAACGGTAAATGATTCGTGGATACCGCAATATTCATATTCATAAATACAAAATAATACTTGCTGTTAGAAAGGGTGAGGGAGAGAGGCTTCTAAGTATTAGTCATAAATTGAAACTGGGAGAATCATGATGTGTTTGGCAGTGAAACATGTTTACCACAAGCTCCCGGTGGATCCTCTGATAGAAATTCCTTCTCTTGTCTGCTGATTTGCAACCAGTGAGTCGAGTCAAAAAATGTAGCTAAATATATCTGTCTGTCTGTCTATTTGTCTGTCTCTGTCTCTCTTTCTATCTCTCTCTGTCTGTCTGTCTCTATCTGTCTGTTTCTATCATCCATCCTTACTTCCATCCATCCTTCTTTCCATCATCCATCCATCCATCCATCCTTCCTTCCTTCCGTCCTTCCTTTTTTCCATCCATCCACCCTTCCTTACATTTACATTTATTCATTTAGCTGACGCATTTATCCAAAGCGACTTATTGCTATATATGTCAGAGGTTGCATGCCTCTGGAGCAACTAGGGGTTAAGTGTCTTGCTCAGGGACACATTGGCGTCTCACAGTGGATTCGAACCCGGGTCTCTCACAAAAAAATGTGTCTTATCCACTGCGCCATCCATCCATCCTTCCTTCCTACCTTCCTTCCTTCCTTCCTTCTATCCATCCATCCTTCCTTCCTTCCATTCATCCTTTCTCACTTCCATCTATCCTTCCTACCATCCATCCATCCTTCCTTGCATCCAACCATCCTTCCTTCCTTCCTTCCTTGGATCGATTGAAGAAAGGGAGAAAGAAGGGATGGATGGAAGGTAGGTAGGTCCTTCCTTCCTTCCTTCCTTCCATCCATCCTTTCTTTCTTTCTTTCTTCCATCCATCCATCCACCCATTATTCCATCCATCCTTCCTTCCTTTCTTCCTACCTACCTACCTTCCATCCATCCCTTCTTTCTCCCTTTCTTCCATCGATCCATCCATCCATTATTCCTTCCTTCCTTCCTTCCTTCCTACCTTCCTTACTTCCTTCCTTCTATCCATCCATCCATCCTTCTTTCCTTCCATTCATCCTTTCTTACTTCCATCTATCCTTCCTACCATCCATCCTTCCTTCCTACCTTCCATCCACCCTTTCTTCCATCCATCCATCCATCCATCCATCCATCCATCCATCCATCCATCCATCCATCCATCCTTCCTTCCTTCCTACCATCCATCCTTCCTTCCTTCCTTCCTTACTTGTTGTGTTTATTGGTGATAGCCATATGAAATGTGAGATTTGACAACCCAATATCACAAAAAAATAAATGTTTTATGAAGTGGCGATTTCGGATGAAAGCAGGAAAAATAAGCAGGAAGGTCCTCCCAAACCATAAAACAGTTATCATGAGATTGTATTGGGTTTAATGTAGCATGACCGTTGCGTGGTCACGTTATTTATCTGTTGCTGATCCACAGCTGTGTGCAGCGCTTGACTCATTCTGTTTAATTAAAAGAACTATGCTTGATTTGATGTTTTCAACACCTCTTATATATTGCCATTCACTGGCTTTATTTCCTCTTGCACAAAGCTATACTGATTTGTCACCAAGTTTCTAAGAATTTCTTTGTCTGCTTCCCATCTCCACCTCCTGATGATCTCAAAAGACAGTCGCTGTCGGCTTGTGGCCTTGGTTTCCATGGACACCGATTCTTGTTTTAAGGGCTGACTTGTTTAGTTGACTCTAGTGTTGTATTGGCGTGCTTTGAAGCGAGCATTGAGTGGTGCACATCATATGAGGATTTAAGCCCCGGATCTTTAAAGATCTGATGTCAGATACCTGCTTTAATTAAACATGCATCAGAGTAAATCTAAACTGCCTTTTGGAAACCAATTTTTTTTTTTTATTGAGCTTCTGGGAATCTGGATCTTGGAATGTGTGTCAATGAAGTAAATAGAGTGATTTATTTTATTTCATGTTGACTTTGTTTTCAAGATTTTTGCTTAAAAAAAACAAGTCATCAAGGACTAGTCTATTCTGAGCTATAATAAGGAACATTCAAGCATATTATTATCATTTCTTTGACATTACTAGGCAAAAGGTACAGTAGATATGGATTTCAGTGTGATTCTCTCTAGGGTAAATTATCTGATGCTGACATCTACTGGTGAATCACAAGAGATCCACCCAAACGTACCATTCAATTTAATTTTAATATAATTTATATATACAAATGTATAGACAAATCTATTTAAAATCATAAATATGAACAATTTTAACAATCATTTTCTTAAAACTAAAAACATTTTCAGAGAATAATGGCATTTGAATAATACTCAAGATCCCCTCATAATTCACAAAACTTTATTCCGTATAACATAGTTTCAAGGCCAAATCACAAATAAATAATGGAGTTGTTTGCTATGACCTGCTTGTCGTAAGACACTAACCACCCACACAGAGGAGAAAAGACCCCAAACCCGGTCAGTAACAAAGACTAAACATATTTAAAGGAGTTATTACATTTGCTAAATGCAATTGACCTAAAAGTTATATTTAGGGAGCGGGCAACAGGAGAGAGAAATGTATCCACCAAACATCCTCTTTGTGTGTCTGAAATGCTCAATAGATCTGCGTGCAGACATTAAACGTCATTCTGAATCAAGGACTTCAATGAAGTAAACTAGAATGCAGTTAAAGAGACATGTTGATGGCTGAACTGTGCGATTCATTTGGGTTAGTTGTTGCCAAAGACATGACTGACGGGTGAATGCACTAATCAGATTACAGTTCCCCTCAGAAATAAGGAGGATCTCTCTCTGGACTAACAGCCGATTGGCCAGCTGCTTGTGGCTGGAACCGATGATAATGCAGGTTGTAAATGAAGCACAATCAAGGTGAGAATAGCAGCTCTAAGAGGGGATGAGTCACTCCCTGAATTCGAAGAGAAAAATAAATTAACCAAAGTATAAATTCCTATAAACCACTTTTAATTTCCACTGTGTAAAAAAAAAGGCAATCAACATCCTCCATCGAGCTCAGGAAAGGCAGACTTGTCTAGCTTAGGAACGCCATTTGCTTTCAGTTCCTTTTAGGACAAACACAAATAATAACAATAATAAAGTACTTTCAGTAAAGAGCATCATGATGTGATGGTAAAGCTGGAGTGTTTCTACAACAAAAGATTCACCTAAGCTGTGCCTAAAGAAATCCAGAAATATAAAAAAAAACAAAAGGTTAGACTGTCTTGAAAATGTGAAGTGTTTAAAAAAAAAAAATCAACAAGTATAGTACATTTTCCACATAAATAATGATTAAATGTACAGATTTTGAAACATTTGACCTATATTCGCAAATGCCACATTTGTCAGTGTCCGAGATGTTCGAAGCTTGTTTGGTTTACATCTCCTGAATCATGCAAAATCAAATGCCAATCATAATGCATCAGTTGTCAATTCATGAGATCTGCACAGCCCGAATGCGAATAAACGCGTCTCTTCCGTTACATCTAGGAAGCTGGAGACATTCATGCTCTTGGGGCCGGACTGCGTATCATTTGATGCGTCTCCGAATACGTAACTCTATTGCACATTCAAATTCACACATCTCTTTGTTGAAGTCACTAATCATTTCATACAATGACAATATCACAATATAATAAAAAAATGGCCATTTAAGAAAACAAAAAGGGTACCCAAACTACTCCATTTCAACACTTGGCTCCCTTGCAAAACATCCATGCGACAATGGCTGACATCATACTGTACATGACATTTTAAAAAGGAATAAAGGCTTTACAAATTCAGAAAAAAACAAACAAAAAACAATGAGTTCAAAGTATTATACGCTCCAAGTATAGAGTCGTACATTTTGTGTGAACCCTGTAGACATGACTAGGAGAGCAGTAACAAGGAGTGAATTTTTCAGATGCAAAGCATACACATGAAATCTGGATGATGTATGGGAGTGAAATTGGATTAAGTTTCCCGGACAAAAAAACAACAAAAAAAAACAAAAACAGTATAGCTTTCTGTATTAGAGCACATCTCTGGCTTAAGACTGCTCTCCATGACAGCTCTTTGCAGCATTTAAACTGCTTTGGTGTTGAATTTGAGCTTAATCCGGTTTAATACTGGTCTCTCCTGGTCAGGGTTGTTAGGAGTTTCTGCAGCTCTTTCTAGGTACACGTGTGCTAGCACTTGAACTACATTAATAATTTCACACAGGGCAACCGTAATAGCCTTTGGATACAGGTAAACAACAGAAGCCGAAGTTCAAAGTAACAAAATGTCAAGTACACACTCCAAAATTCAATTTTGAAAAAAAAAAAAAAAAAGTAACATTGCAACAGAAACATTCCATACACATCCAAATCTTACACGGCTCAAAAGCGGTTTCAGACCAAAACATTAGTCCTTGAAAAAAAAAAAAGTAAGCCAACAAAGAAATAAGCAACAGAAATTGTAAAACGCTTCCCTGCATAGACTCGAGATGACAATTCAGTGTGACCGCAGAATAATGTGAGGGTGGGGTGTCTACCAAAGACAGCCAATGAGAGAAAAGGAAGAGAGAAGTGGATGGGGTCTCACAGTCTGTAGCTTGTATTGTGTCTTTTCCAGGAGTCACTCTCGTGAATCATCTGAGAAAAGTGCGCTATTTAGTACCTGCTTCAGCAGGTGACGTTTGCTTTCGCTTCGTTCCCTCTCATCAAACCATAACCAGAATTCAAGTGTCACTGTTTTGATCGCAGAACATCACAGGAAGCAGGAAGGCAGAGGATTGTGGGTTGCTTTTTGTCGTATATAGGCATTGTGGTATGGTGTGTCCTAAACCCCTTCCCCCCCACATCACACCACCGGTTGACCCCTGGTTTCATTCACTTGCCACCGTACATCCTCTCGATATCGTCCTGATAGTGCGTTTTTAGTTCCTTGCGTTTGAGTTTGAAGGCGTCGGTAACCAGGCCCGTCTCGGGCGTCCAGGGTTCGGGGCTCAGACGGATTTTCTTTGGGATCTCAAAGCGCTCCAGCTTACCTGTAAATCAGAACAAAGAGATTATATTTGAAATTTACAGCCTTATGGTGATGAGAACTGTAGCTTACGACAAGCAAATAAAACAAAATTGTGAAACAATTGTGACATATGATCCTTCAGAAATCATTCTAATATGTTGCTCAAGAAGCATATCTTATAATATCAATGTTGAAAACAGTTGTGCTGCTTACATTTGTGAATTTATTCGAAATGGACGTTTTGTGGCATTACAAATGTTGAATTTAGACCAATTGAATGAATCCTTCCTGAACAAAAGTCATAATTTCTTTCAAACAAAATCTATATATTCTATTTACACAATTGTTATTTTGCCCTTTTGTGGACAGACCTGTTATAGCCGCGTCTGTGATGATACGTAGAACCTCTTTCTCCATCTCTGGATGGTTGCAGATCTCTTCCCATGATCCTCTGATGCCCCTCTGCGCAGCAAGGGTGGTTAAATGCTTCTGATTGGGCACCACAAACCCAATCACATACGACTCTTCACTGTGTAGAGAGGGAAATGTTTATACAGCTCATTAATGAAGCACGTGTGACTGCTGAATTGTCACAGTATGTATGGGCACATTTGCACTCACCTGTTGGCATAAGCACAGATGTTGTCGATGAATGAGCAGTTTTTGAGCACAGCCTCCACTTTGCCCAAAGACACGTATTCACCAGCTTGCAACTTCACCAGGTCCTTCTTGCGATCTACACACACAGGCCAAAACCACTAACAGACTGATCTCATGAAATGGCGTATGTATGACACGCCAAATTGAATTTCCATTTTTGCCGTGCTATCAACACAAATAATAGATTTTCAGCGTGTTTATGAATGCCGTTGACTTAACATTACATTACTGTATATATAATTATATATGAGCTACCCCAATCCCGTCCCTAAACCTACCAGTCACTGGGGTTAATACAATTATGAGTCTTCCCCTACCATCCTAGGAAAAAAATATCGCTCCCCAGATGTAGATGTACATTTTGCTTCGTTTTGCTCGGACATTTAACGGCGTGTACATGCACGCGGAATCACTCGGACATTTAACGCGTAGACATGTACACGCGGATAGCTCAAAATGCGTATAGATAACACGCCACTTGACTTGAAAGTGGCGTGTATGTTTACGCAAAAGTCATGATCTCATGTTGCCATTTAAAGAAATGTACATTAAAAGTACTAGTGTTGTCAAAAAACTCGGTACTTCGGTACCAAGTCGGTACTAAAAAAAAAAAAAAATGTTACGGTACCAGCTTTTCTAGGTACCGAATACCAGGTTAATCCAGTTCTAGACGCGCTGTCTGAAAGGTGCACAGTCGCGTCCTCTTCATAACGCTGATATGGCTCTCTCTCTCTGAATCCACTTGTTGACACGAAAGGAGGAAAGAGCCACATATGGAAATATTTTGGATTAGGCTAATGTCACGTTGCCATAAGAGGCCGATTACATGCAAAGTCGCAATTTCAAATATAGGCGCGAGGCAAGCGCGCTCATAATAAAAACTCGTTGCATAACAACGACAGACGCCGCGTGAGAGCAAGCGCTTTGGAAAGAATAAGCACGCGCAAAAATATAATAAAAAACACGCGCGATATGTGAACGGCCTCTAAAGTGCTTTCGGGGTAGTTTTACGAGTACATGAGCACAGTAGTATCCACCCGACACCAGAGTACTGGTATTAGTATCGACGCATCCCTATTTATTATGTCAATGCCAGTTCTAGGCGTATTCTTGCCTTTATAACTCAGCAGGTTTAAAAAGCCTTTTTAAAATTAAATATGAATGCAGTTTTAGACTAAATAAAAGTACAGACAAGTCAAATAAAACATGTTTTATCTCCTGTATAGTTTGGTAACGCGACAATAAGATAGCTACCATTCATCAACATTACTTAGTTCACATCAACACATTGAGTGAACAATATATTTTTACAACATTAATTAATGTTTGTAAATGTTATTTAATACAAACACTTGGTTGTTCATGTTTGTTCACTTCATTCATTGTGCATTAAATAAATGTTAACGGATTAAAACTTTACAAACAACTTTAAAAATGTGTTAGTGCATACTATTGTTTATTTTAGGTCATTTTATCTAATCTTTTTCTAAAGTGTTTATAATGCAAATGTACAGTTTCCATACTTGTAACCGTGATAAACACTTAAATATATGTAAATTTAAACTAAGCTTTGGTACCGAAATTGGTACCGAGAACCGTGAATTTTTACTGGTATTGGTACCGAATACTGAAATTTTGGTACCGTGACAACACTAAAAAGTACTATGAAACACTTAAAGAGTGCTGAGATTTTATTGGCCGGTTTCACAGGCAAGGCTTAAGCCTAGTCCCAGACTAAAATGCATAATTGAGCTGTTTTAGCTGCCATTGTTTTGTCTCAAAATGCAAACCTGTAGATCATTTGCTTTGTTCCGAAACAGTGAATTAATTGGTTACAATGTTGCATTTTCCTCTTGGTTCGGTTTGCTTTCACAACGCAACATTTCAAAGCATACCAAATGTGTTTATCCAAGTCATATGCGAGTAAATATTGGTCAGAGTTTCCTCTGCGTCATCCATCGCTCCGCGAGGCTTTATCTGTAGCTGTCTTGATACACGCAAACACATACGAATGCAGCCATCATTCCCTCTAACTGGATATATTTATTTAATTATATAATGTGGTATAACTATGTGGTGTTTTTAATTTGTTTTAAAACAAACCATCTGTAAGTATTAGTCAACACCATTTTTCTCCTTAAAACCGCAGAGAGACAAAGGCAGTCTCAAAAACGTGGTTTGAAATTGCTGGTGTTTCTGACGTCACAAACTACCTTGTAACCAATCACGTCAACGTCTGATCGTCAATGAGCTGCATTTTGCATATTAATAGAACCGCGTATACTAAATGAGGCAATGGTGTAGAGTTACATTCAAGCTATTTTAAGGCATGAAGATTTTTTTTTCAAGGAAACAAATGGTTAAATATATCATTTTGATTGTAAAAGATGAGTTTTAAGGGATAAAATGATTGACTAAAGGCACTCTGTGGTTTTCAACTGTGATGACTAATGTCCTCACTCACAGAATCAGACACTTCTTTTTATAGAACACTTTTCCGGTTATGAATTATGATACTGCTTCCGTTGAGTCGGATTTCTCCCCTTAACCGAACCACCCAGAGCTCGTTTTCAATCGGGCCAAGACCACCGTGTTCAGGCGATCTCGGAGCGACTGTTTTGGTGCAGATCCGAGCCGTGATTGCAGTGTTCATATATGTCTAAACAAACCGAACTAAGAGAGAAAACGCACTAAAGGTCCAAATTGAACTAAGGCCTACTCCTGGCTTAATCTAACCGGGCCTATGTCTTGAAATAGGGTTTGTGTGTATGTGTCTCTACACACCGATAATCTTGAGGCAGCCATCAGGGTGAAACTCTCCGATGTCTCCGGTGCAGAACCAACGCTGGCCGTTCGCATCCACAAAGAAGTCCTCTCGGTTTTTCTGCTCGTTTTTATAGTAACCCATTGTGACGTTGGGACCGCCAATCACAATCTCTCCTCGTGGGTTTGGTTTATCGGTGCTGAAATAACCACCTATGGACAGAAAGAAATATATATATAGATATAAAAATGGGCAACATGTAATAGGATTTCAAATCTCAGTATCTTAATATTTAAAAAGCAGAACTGGCCTTCCTCCCAGTCCTTCAGCATGATCTCGGAGCACACCAGAGGAGCTCCAACACGTCCAGTGCTGTAATCAGAATCTAAAACAAACACACACAGTATAAAAAAACTTTTACATGAGCTATAATTTCACCTCTCTTTACACTTATAGCATTGAATGTTCCTGTAATCTAATGAATAGTTCCATTGGATTAACCCAGGGTTATTCAAGACCCCGTGCCGTTGATTTAAATGCATTAATCCCAAGGTTCCCATACTTTTTGACCCATGAATTCCTATGACCTTTTTCTTAGTCGTTTGTGATTGCTGGATAACTTTTTTTTTAATTCCAAAGAGACTGCAGTCAAAGACAATTATTTCTAGCCAATTAAATATTTTAGAGCTGAACATAACACAAAACAGGTTGTTCTTTTCCTTAACCTGTTAACTGTCACCCCCCCTTTTTTGAATAGACATGAAAATGCACATTTCGAACTTAAATGGTTGTAATTCAAGAATGCTTTGGAATATAGACATATGATTGGTCTTGTTTTAAAGAAGACATTTGGCAGATTTTTGTAGAAGTGAAATAAATTAAGAAAGTGAAACAGAAAAAAAGTTATAGAGGTTTGAGTTTATGGAAATGTACAATGTAAAAATATTAATTATTCATATTTTACATAAAATATATATTTTCAAAACCTGGGCTACTCTAAAATGGCAGAAAAATCAAAGCCAAAAATCTGAACAAGTTGTGTTTCAAATTTTAGGTTGATATCTCAAAAAATGAGCTTTCATCTAACATTAGTCATTCGCGGTCAAAACACTGGTGTAAACACAGTTTGATGTCGCAATTTTCAGTGCTCAGAGCCTGTTAAACTTGAGCCAACCAACCCCGTGACGTCACCTGCACCTGGTGGCGAAAGATATAAAGTTTTTTTCTCTTCTAAATGTTTACATTTGTCATGTTTCTTATATAATTGTTGATTATATTGGAAATCCATCTTGTAAATCATGTAAACTTAATTCACTGCTTCATTTCCCCTTTAAAACCTTTTCAGAACTTTTAGAACTTCAGAATTTGTGTTAGGGAGAATTGAGACTTTTTAAGACCCTTTCAAGACCTGCAGAAACCCTGAAAAATAAATGAATAAATGACTAAATAATATTCCAAGCCTTTATCATTATTATTATTTTAATACTAGAGCCTACACCCTTGATTTGAAGCACTGACACACCTTTTAATTCTAGAGCTCATACTGCGTTTGCCTTCCTTTCCTTATCAGTGAACTTTGCTACACCTGCGTTTAGTCCCGACACTCCTGTCCAGAGTCCTAGCTTCACTTCTAAGTGAATCCCCATGCTTACGCTCGCTGATGGTGCCGGCTCCGCAGGTCTCGGTGAGGCCATATCCTTGTCCCACAGGACAGCAGAAACAGATGTTCATGAAACGCTGAGTAACTGCGGATAAAGGAGCTCCGCCAGACAACAGCACGCGCATTTTACCGCCCAGCAACGAGCGAACCTTCTTGAACACAAGCCTGCGGAACACAAAAACAAGATGACATTGGACATTAAAAAATATACCTAAGAAAAAAAAAACATTCCTGCATCTAAACAAACCCAGCGAGTTTTGGAAGACATCATGTTAATATTATTGTATTATACCTGTCACAGAGAGGCGTGCTGTATCCTTCAGAGATCTGCTCCATCTTGTAGTTGTATGCCAGAACAAAGAGAGTTCTCTGCACACTGCTCATCTCATCAACTTTAGTCATCACATTCTTATAGATCCGGTCCATAATCTCCTACACAGACATAATGAGAGAGAAACAATTCGCTCACAGCTATTAAGACTAGATCTGGGTATTGATTGACACAAATTTCGATTTGATTTACAAGTTTACGATTCGATTAAATATCCGCTCTCCATTCAATGCGATTAGCTATCGATTCATTTGGATATATACCAGGTACAGTAGTTTTTTTTCTTCCTAAAACTACATCAGCTGAAAACAGCACAGACTAAAAAGATTGATTCCTGGGATTCAAAGTCCCCCTGTGGTGAAAATCAAGTTTTTAATATGCTTTAAGACAAACCATGTGTAAATTCATGTCAACACCATTGCGGAGTATTTTTTCTTTAAAACTGCAGAGAACTAAAGACAATCTCAAAAACATGGTTTAAAGGGGTGATGAACTGAGAAATCAAATTTTCCTTGAGCTTTTGACATCTAAGAGGTCATCATATTATAAGAATTTCCTGTTTCAGAACTGAAAGCGTCCTTGTTAGTCCAATAAAAGCTTTTATTGACACCAGCCCCAGCAAACGACTCGTTTTTCAAAGAGGGGAACTATGACGTCAAAGAGGATAAAACACCACCCCGCAGAAGAAGATCAACACCTACTTCAACACAGCCGGTTTAGCCCCGCCCACTGATTCGCGCATTACACGCATAGCTAAATAACATAGATGCCTACCTCGTGATGACAAACTCGATCGAGTGAAACTCATTATAATATGCAAATCTGTTATCCACTCACAGCAGTGGGCGTTTACTTTCTAGTCTTCAATGCGAGACGCCCATATCAACAGAGCGTTTTTGAGCTGGGCTCAAAACTAGGGTAGAAAAAAGCCTATTACTTATTCATTTTGATGTTTTTTAATGTAAAAACCAAGCGAACATCATAAGTTGACCTCAGACAACAATATAAAAAAATGTAAAAAGACAGTTCATGACCCCTTTAAAAATCGCTGGCGTTTCTGACGTCACAAACTACCTTGTAACAATCACGCCAACCTGTGATCATCAACGAGTGGAGTGTGAGTTAGTGGAGGCCGGGCTGATTTGCATATTCATAGAACCGCATATGCTAAATGAGGCAATCGCGTACAGTTACATTCAAGCTATTTTAAGTTACCGGTATGAGGAATTTATTTTCATTTTGAGTTTTAAAGGATAGAATTATTACTACAGGGGGACTTTAAAGGGTTAGTTCACCCAAAAATGAAACTTTTGTCAGTATTTACTCACCCTCATGTTGTTCCAAACCTCTATGTGTTTATTTGTTCTGCTGAACACAAAGGAAGATATTTAGAATAATGTTTTAATCAAACAGATCTCATTCCCCATTGACTACCATAGTAGGAAAAAATGCATGGTAGTCAATGGGGAATGAGATCTGTTTGATTAAAACATTATTCTAAATATCTTCCTTTGTGTTCAGCAGAACAAATAAACACATAGAAGTTTGGAACAACATGAGGGTGAGTAAATACTGACAGAATTGTCATTTTTGGGTGAACTAACTCTTTAAGAATTGATATAGGTTCATCAAAATAAGAATCAATTTAAAATCGAGGAATCCTATTTATGAACACTGTGTGCGTTTATGTGAATGCGAGTACTTACAGGAACAGCTGCCATCAGGGTTGGTCTGAGCATACTGGTGTCTCCTTTACTGCCCTTTTTAATTTTAGATGACTGTGGGAGAAGGGACAAAACAAGAGAGCATATTGCACATTAGATGCTACTATTGCAATTTTTAAGTTATTATTATTGTTTGGAGTTATGATGCAAATGCTTTGGCAATCAAAAGTATTCTGAGATTGTAAAAGAGCTTGACATGGTGATGATGTCACAATAGCATGACTAAAGTGTATGTTTGTGTGTTTGTACCTGGTCAGCAAGAGTCTGAGGTGACGAATATCCAATCCGACAGCCATGTGACACGCATACTAGTTCAGCGCTGAGCTCCAGGACATGAGCGAGTGGCAGGTAGCCAATATAGGTGTCATTCTCACTGTCACAATAAAAAAGAAACGTTGTTAACAGAAAATCCTACGCCATTAACTATACATAAACATGGCTAGAATAGTTTTAAAAGTTAGTTTTATACAACTTTAAAAGTGTCTTAAAAGTGCAGCTTCTTCAAACTGAGCATTTGCACATCCTGCACTGATTTATTAATCCTGTTTGTTTATTTGTACTCATTCATTCAATTAGTTTCTCTTTCACTTTCCCATCTTACCTTACAGATGGCTCTTATTATTCATATTTCCCTTGTTTTTTACTTTTTCTAAGCTCTAATACACCAAGACAAATTCCTTGTACATGTAAAAGCCACTGCACTTGAGATTCTGATTCTAAATGCAAAAACTTATTTCACAAAATATTCACACAATGTCAAGTGTCACATTTTGGAACAATACACAGTCACATTAACAAAAGTTACACAAACTGTCCAGTAATACATTAAATTATGAATACATAGGAATCACACTTTCATGAGATTGTAAACATTTAAATATACAATATTGTTCAAAAGTTTGGGATCGGTAAGATTAGTTCATGTTTTCGGAAGAAGTCTCTCGTGCTCATCAAGGCAGCATTTATTTGATCAAAAATGCAGTAAAAAAAAAATTATTATTTCTTTTTAACATATATTATAATGTAATTTATTCCTGTGATGACAAAGCTGAATTTTTAGCATTATTACTCCAGTCTTCAGTGTCACATGATCCTTCAGAAATTATTCTAATATTATGATTATGTTGAAAATATTTGCGCTGGTTAATTTTTTCAGGGGTTCTTTGAAACAGAAATATTATGTAACATTATAAATGTAATTACTGTCACTTTTGATCAATTTAATGCGTCCTTGCTGAATTAAAGTATTTATTTCTTTCACATTTTTTTTTTTTACTGACCCCTAACTATTGTGAACGTATTGAGATCATGGGTAATATAAAATTTTATAAAACAGATGCTTCATAACGCAGTGCTAGTACCGCCAACATCATGGATTTGCTTCCCAGGTAACCATTTTTGAACATCAGTGTCTTTAATCATATCGCCGTGATCAGCATTTTTCTTTAACACCTTAATTAATGAGACATTAAAATGCTAATTTATTATACAGACATAAAATGAAGCCAATAGAGATTAGCTTTTTAACAGCTAAAAATCAATGGACAGACAGAACCAAGCTAGATAGAGGCGTCGGAAAAACATACTTCAGGTTAGGAATGCGTTCAGCCATGCCAGTGACGCCAGCGATGATGTTGCTATGGGAGATCATGACTCCTTTGGGAATGCCTGTAGAGCCGCTGGTGTACATGATCACTGCGATATCAGACGGGACAGGCTGCCTGCGGGACACCATTACTGCACACAGAGAAAGACACATTCACAATGCTTCATTAGTGGCAGCCATGTCGTAGAGCCATTTAAGAGCTCTAAAATAAAAACTATGTTGAAGGAGAATTTTTTTGTTATATGGGAAAATGTTGACCAGGCCACTTTGCTGCCAAGATTTCTTGCACATCATCAGAATCCCTCAGTCCCAAACAGATGTCATAAATATGCCCACGGTAATGTAAATTAAACCACGGGCATCAGGAAATGTGCTCTAGTAAACAAAAACCCTTCACCTCTGTCGAGTTACTAAAAACCTGTAAAACCTTTGTGTTTAAAATTACAATTTGTGTGTATTTTGTATATACATTGAATTAAATGGAAAAATAATATTAATATTAGTCAAAGGTCATTTTTAATTTATTTATATATAAATTAGGGCTATCAAACGATTAATCGTGATTAATCGTATCCAAAATAAAAGTTTGTGTTTACATAATATATGTGGGTGCACTGTGTATAATTATTTTGTGTACATATATATATATATATATATAAATATAAATACACACACATGCTTTCAAGTATATAATGTATCTAGATTTATATATAATTTATATTATATATAAATATTTTACATATAAATAATATTTTTTTCTTAAATATACATGCATGTTTGTGTATTTATATATATTTATATAATCATTATACATAGTGCACACAAACTTTTATTTTGGATGCAATTAATCGTGATTAATCGTTTGACAGCCCTAATATAAATATATGCTGAATTTATTTGATAAAAAATACAGTAGAAACAGTAATACTGTGAGTATACTTACAATGTAAAATAACGTTTCCATTTTATATATATTTTAAAATGTAATTGATTGCTTACTCCAGTCTTCAGTGTCACATGATCCTTCAGAAATCATTCTAAGATGCTGATTTGCTGCTCAAGAAACATTTCATGTGTGCATGTGAATGGTAAAATAAAGTATTCAATTTATTAAAATAAAAATAAAACAAAAAATATAGATTTTAAATATGAAGCATTTAAAATGTCTTCATATTTATTTTTATTTATTTTTTTGACAGAGAGAGAGGCAGAATGTAGGCCCAACTGATATTCATCGGCATCATCGGCCATAGCTGGCACCTGTTAAGACTAGCTAGACCGGCTCTCGTAAAAAACACACGTGTAATACTCCAGTGAAATGTCTAAACCTTTTATCTCAGTCTTTCTAAACAGAAAAACCTGCTCTAATAAAGATAACATCTCCCTCTCTTATCTCCAGAGGGGTTTTCTAAACAGTTGCTCTTATCTGACACAAAGGCTGAGTGTGTGAGCTCTCAACACCGGTTCGCTTGCCCTCAAGTCCTCTTTTCATCTGACAGGAAGATGCAGCTGTCTTTCTTCCCTGAACAAAATCTCTGTTTACAGCTCTTTTGGTCCTCCTTAGTCTGTTTATTATGTCAGTACAGTTCAGAACATGACAAAAGGTGGTGTCTCTATCATCAGCAAGCAAGGGCTACTGTGAATTTCTCTCATGCTTTTTTCTGCATTAGGAATCCCTTGGCTACATTTAGACTTTTTAGTATACTATAGTACAAGTAGTATATGAACCCATATGTAGTATGCAAATATAACACTATAAAGTACGATTATAAACTAGTGTCCGACTGATACGGATTTTGTTTTGGCCGATGCCGATATCTTGAGCAGGGTGGCCGATATAAAGCCGCTATAGGTCTATATAATATTAAAGATGGTAAATAACACCTGCGAAATTTTAAACAACGTAGTATGCTACTTGAGAGTTTAGGCACTTACCATTTTCAGTTTTGCCCCCCAGTTCTTGCACTGCACCCATGTTGTGGACCGTGATGCCTCTGGGGAGATCAGGCCAACTGGTGGTCTTTATATCAACCAATATAATGTGCTTCAGTCTGGGGACTTCCAACAGAATGGCCTGAGAGAGAGAGAGAATCATTCAGATCAATAATGGACCGCAGCTCTGACACATCATGAGCCGACTGGTGTGACGTCGGTCTCGTTCTCACCTTGAGGCGGCTCTGCAGCAGTTCTTTGCTTGTGATGATGTGCGTGACCTCAGTCTCATTTAAACCATGAGCTATAGCTGCTCCTCCCAATGTGGAGAACAGGGTCACCACTGACACGGAGAGAAAGAACATCATTAAGATAATGAGTTACTGTGCCTTTAAGTATAAAATAGAGAGAGATTATTAATATTATTTATTAATAATTATTGATTTATTATTTAATTATACATTTATAATTAGAATTGTTGTTATAATAAACATTTTTTGTTATTATTAAAAACATTGTTATTAAAGGTACAATGTGTAGGATTTTTCACCACCAGGAGTCGCTAACCTCTTACAATAACAAAGGCGTATATCGATGGCGCAAAGCATTAAGCGGAATTATGGATCTTGACGTCAAGCTGATGGATCTTTTATGGATACGTGAACACTAGGCCTGTCAATCTTCCTCTATAATACTATTCAAATTCCATTCCTTATTTTATGTAATATTCGAATAATATTCGAATATTAAATGCTCAAATTTATCCTATTATTAATATTTACGACATTACACATTCTTATGGATCGTCAATGCCACTAGCCTGTGGTTGTTGTTACACGGCCCACTAGAGGGACATCTAACATTACTACAATAAACATTTAGGGGCTGTTTACACCTGGCCACTTCATGTGTTTTCTTAGATATAGCTCTGATTTATCAAAACGATACCATTTACACCACATAAATGTGTTTTTGCAAAACAGATATAAATCCGATCTTCAATTCCCGTGCTATATATAGATGTAATGAAGTGCACGTCACCGAAAGCAACAGATTTGAGCTGCATTTTATTGATCATCGGCTAATTTCAAAATTAGCAAAGACAGCAATAAGGGAGAGCGGCAACAGCCCTGGTAATATCATTTCATTCCTTTACTTTAAATGAAGATGGTAGAGTTAAGCGTCTAAAACTTACTTTCACTTTGATTTGCGATAGATTGCGGCGCGTTGGCTTGATGAATGGGGCTCAGATCTGAGGTGATGTGATCGTCATATCGCGTCGGAAGTTCCGGGAGTCTCCCGCATATTGATAGCGTCTCCCTGATGGCCGCAAATTTGTTAAAATCTCCCGGAATCCGTGCATAACATACATAGTGCGCAGCGCGTGCATGGCAGAGAGGGAGTGAACGAGACCTTGCAAATGTGCCACGCGAAAGCTAGTCCCGCGCTCTCCTATTGTTAATAAGAAAGCGATAAGGGGCCGTTTACACCTGGTCACTTCGGAAGTATATATTTATTTTTAAATATATATAAAAGCAATATTCGAATCGTAACTTTGGCATTCAAATAGTATTTATTTTTTTAATATTCAAATTATAAAATCGAATTTCGGAATTCGTTCCAACAGCCCTAGTGAACACAGTGATGTTTTTAACATGACTGTGGTGTGAAGCAGGGCGTGATTGCTAATGAGAGACTCGCAACGCGAGTCCCACAGATATAAAGAAATAAGGACATTTCATTCTACCGAACTACCCACAAGTGCTGAATTACTACTCACACAGGTCAGTTTATTAGAGGAATTAAACTTGAGGTAACGCAGCGCTGCTTCACTTGCTCTAACAGGTAAACTATCACACTAAACGGCATTTGAGTGTGTTGAATGTTGTTAGTTAGGTTGTGTGTTGGCTGTATGAGAATAAGCTAAATTAACATTAGAGAATAACATATCATATTCTAACATTTCATCATGTTGAACTAAATAACATTGATTAGTTTTATGTACATTTTCTCAACTGTCTAATAAAGTAGCAACACTCGAGTCTGTCAAGTCGAAGTTAGACGCGGACGTGGCGCTCTCGGCATCTCGAAAGATTCTAGTCCTCTTTTTGTCTCAAAGTCTGCTTGCCATGGTCCATAATGTTTGAACAAAACAACAAAAGCGTAAGCGTCCTGCTAAGCATAACCCAGTTGTCCACGTCTGTCGCCATGGTTACTATGGCAGTACGTGCGGAAACCGAGGGATATGACGCCATTGACTGGTGACTCCTTACCCCTGCTGACACGCCCCTTTTCCTTGGTTAAAAATCACAATTTTCTCAAAATTTACAAATAATTGATATTGTAAGTAATCAACTAAAAAAAATATATAACATTGGCCTAGTGGTTTTTGGATATTTTACTGCAAAAATCCTACATATTGCACCTTTAAATCAATAAAGACTGGATTATTACAATTGAAATAAAATTGTAGTAGTAATAATAATAATAATAATAATAATAGTTAAACAATACAATAAAGTATTAAACAGCATTTCAACTTGCCAACGACAATTTTTATATTTGGCAGATGGTGAATGTTCATTTCGGACTAAGATGTCAGTACAGAAATCATTTTTTTTTTTTTTCATTTATATGTTTTTTCATTTATATATTTATATTTTTTTTCATTTTAAATCAATTAAATCCATTTATATTGTAAAGTTATGTTTACCACAGGCTTTATTTTACTCATAAATAAAAACAAACATTATAAAAGCCCTATAAGGAATTCCATTATAAGGAAAATCTTGAAGGAATCAGTGGTAAATTAGTCTTCCGGGCTTTGATGTCATCCATGCACCACTGTATTGAGCTTTTCTATTTTTGCAATGTTTTTAATGAAACTCAAAGCATCCAAGGGACAAGGGTTGTGGGTAATATTAATCTTTAAAAAAAAAAAAAGCATGAACAGATGGACATTTTGACAATCCATGCAGACATGCCCTTTGGCATACTATCTTCAACATCACAGTGTATCTAAAATTGGAGATGCACTAATTCACATCTTGCATACTTTTAGTATGTATAGTATAGCATGTGAAATGGAATGAAACCAGATACAGATTTTCTGCATGCGTGTGTGAGCTTGAAAAGCGAATACCAGTTCTGTTTTCAGTGTGATGTCTTGCATCTAGTACCACAGCAGTGCTGCTATTTTTGTCCTAGTCAGCACAATACAGCCGATATTGGAGAAAACCATGTGTGTGCGTGATTTGAATACTCACAGGGGAAGTTGTACATGAAGCATGCCTGAGCTGCTATAATCCATTCAGCACGAGTCTCGCAGAAAATGGCGATGTTGCAAAGAGGCTTCTGATCCAGAGCGGCGAGCCCACTACCAAACCTCTGAGACAGATGGAACGTTTCTTCATACGACAACCAGTTATAATCACCCAAAATCACCTAGAGAGAAGCAGAGAGGAGTCAGAGTTGCATTGTATTGAAATTCTCAGTATCTTTCACAGCAGCATGAGACGACTTTTCAATTTCATCTAAACAGTTCTGGACAACAACAGACCAGAGATCAACTCTGTTTACAGAGAGAGACGGCCACTGAACTTCTTCCTGTGGAGCTCAAGAGAGTTCTCTCGGGATCTGTCCACTTAACCTTACACACACGGACTCTATATTGTGCAAGTATATGTTTAAAGGATTTCTCATGGAAAGGGCTATGTTCACACTGACCTAAATCTGATTTCAGTCACACACTACCTTTCAAACGTTTGGGGTCAGTATCATTTTATTCTTTTATATATATATTATAATAGTCATTTATAATTGTTTTAAAATTGTCAAACATTAAGCAGCACAACCTTTCAACATTGATAATAAATAAATAAATTCAGTAGACAGAAACTCCATAATGCGTTTAGTGGTCTAGATAATTTTGAAACACAAACATGTATTTTCTCTTATACTTATACAACTGAAACGTTCAGCCTGATGGTGGAAAAGCGGCTAAAGTTCCACAGCCATTGAGAGTGTGTGGCCGTACAGTAGGAGTCAACATGAGTGTGTGTGTGTCTTACCTTCTTAAAGATCTTGCCGTTAGGCTGCATCTCATCCTCCTCGCTCAGCAGCTCTCTTGTGCCCAGGCAGTCTCTTTCAGGAAAGTGTACTACAGCATATTCAAACATTTTATCCAAAGTATCCACACCCTCGTGCAGCTGGGACGCCAACCTCTGCTGGCTGTTCACGGACCGGTACGGCCCTGCCGGTGTCCCGCTTACCTGATGGGATAGGAAATTACAATAAGGTCATTGGGGGAAATGTAGGACAAGCACAGGCAGTCAAAAAAAATTCCAAAACCACTTGTCGCCTAATTCATCATATTTTAGTTTCTCTAAAATATTACAATTTTTTTAAACCACCAATTTAATTAAGTGACGTTATTCAGTAATGAAAGTGACTCAAATCCCTCCGCTAATCTAAGATAAATTGCGATAATCTCTATTTATAACAGGTACCGTTTAGAAGTTTGGGGACAGTGCGATTTTTTTTTTAATGAAATTATATTTTGTTCAGCAAGGATGCATTTTATTGATCAAAAGTAACAATAAAGACATTTTATAATGTTAGATTTTGATTTGAAATAAATGTTGTTCTTTTGAACAAAAAAAATGTATGATGTATTCTAAAAATTTTAAACTGCATCAATATGGAAAACAGTTCCTTTAAAGTTAATTCATATTTTACAATATTACTGTTTTACTGTATTTTTGATTAAATAATTGTTTATAGTAATAATACTTACTGACCCCAAACTTTTGAACCAGACCCAGGGTTTGAATGAATCTGTGCTGATGTTTTGGGCCTATTCATCCTATGCTGTACTCACTGTGCGTGCTTTGATCCTTTTAGCACGGGCCTGATTCCCGCTGGCTCCGGAGAGCAGGTACCAGGGAAGAAATGTGATGACGGAATAAACCCAGGCGACCGATCGAAAGACCTGCAGCAGGAGAGGAGACATGTCCTCCTTCAACTTCATCCTGAGGAACCAAAAAAAAAAAATCAGAGGACAAGACACAAAAAAAAGAAGTTAGTGATTAATGCCCTCAAACCACATCAGCTTTGCCTTTTATTTTTCTCCTCCACTTACTTTGTGTTGTTCTTTACTTTCCTCCAAACACGTGATAGTATTCCTCTTTTCCTGAAGCTCTTGCTGGCTTCTTCTGGTGCTTTATAGTGTTGATGGTACTTCTTGACGTCTCTACTGCCTTTTGTCAAACCTGCTGGCTGAGAGGGCAATTTCCTGTTCCATTTCCTTTTCCCACTCCAGCTTCCTGCTCTGACAGTGTGCAAAGCCCCCTGGGTTTAAAGATGAGCCCTCCCTGTGGGGACATACAACAAGCAAAGCGTGTTTTGTCAATATGCTTTGAATAAAACATGATTGAGAATTTGTTAAAGGCTTTGTTTGTAAGTCATGAAACAAATCAACCAGCTACATTGTGAATCACAACAAGTTTAAGCTTTAAAGCTAAAAAAAGAAGCATTTGAAAATCAGATGAAAAGATAAATATAAAAGACTATACTTAATGGCTTTAATAAGGAAAGATCAAATAAAAATAAAATAAATAAAAAATGAAATGATGGTGAAATATATTGTTTATCCAATTTTATGTATATATACACATATTATGCATTTTTAAGTAGTTTCAGAGTGGAGACTATATTACGTCATTTCATTTTCAGTGCTTCATGTTAGTGGCTGAGTGCTAAGAGTTGATTTGATTCGATTTCTTTTTTGTAGAATCATGGGTAATGTAGTTTTTCACCAGTAATTTCACTGTTAAACACAATTGGTGAAATAATGTGGGCTGATGACTTTAAAAAAAAACATGAAAATGATCGGAAATGACGCTAGCTGGACTTAAACTTAGTCTGTGTCCTAAATCGCCCCCTATACCCTTAAATAAGGCACTATTTGAGGGGGCAGGCATTAGTAGTGGTGTCCAAAAACATAGTGGACATTATCGAGTGCACTTATTCACTTCCACAATGCACCCCAATAACAAGTGGACAACCGTTGTACACTCAATGGCTAGAGGATACCCATCATGCACTGTCTGTGAGAGTCTCATGCTGAATGAATTCTTGCATCTGAACAGAATGAATCGTCCATCCATTCACTCACTTTCCAAACCGCTGGTCCAATGTGGCTCCAGCATAACATCATATAGGTACAAATTCCTTTTTAATTGATTATTAAATTGTTTAATTAAGGTTTGTACATAGTTTCCATGACCAAGTTCAAGATTAATCTTTTCATTACTACTTGAGCAGCCAGTTTGCCAAGTTTCAAATAATTATTTAACAACAAATACAAACTATGCAAAAGCGCCGGCCCTTTCAGCGCTTGCTCGTTTTCGTTCACCACTTCAAGTGAAATATATTAGTGGACTAATGTAAGGAATAGTGAATGAGGGTGTACGGGTCGATTTCGAACACAGCCTTACTCTACCGTATGAGGATGTATGTTAACCACTATGCCAAGACTGTGACAGGAGTCAGGACCACTGTGATTTAACTAGGGACAGCTGGTAAACAGTCTATGCTCTGAGCTCAGAGGACAAACAAGACAGGCTTTGTCGCTCGGGAAGGATGAAGCTCACACTGAAACAAGTGTTCTGTTCGAGAGGAGGATGTGTTGATGAATGCATGCGTGTGTGTGTGTGTGTGTGTGTGTGTGTGTGTGTTGAGGGGAAGAGATGGGGGGGGTGGACATGCATGAGCATATCCAGAACATGAAATACAAATTTGGCCAAATTCTGAAATGCCAAATAAAGATTGACCTGATAATCCAGCAGCTCATTAGATACGAGCAGTGCTGAATTTAAAAATCATTGACCTATTTTAAACCCAATTATTAAGAGCAAAAAAAACCCTCCAAAACACTCTGGGAAGATGCATGTTTTTCAGTTAGAGATAAACACAACACTTGTAGTAGCTACACAATAGCAAAACAAAGAAGGAAACAGCCTCTTTTTCCCATTATCTCTCTGGGAAAAACAAACAGCTGACTTCTTTCTTTGGTTTTGATACTTTTAGAGGAAGGTCAAAAATACAATCCATGATAGAGACGTTCTCAAATATCAGCTATATAGCAGATATGCATTCTCTCCTTGTAGCTTCAATCGTGGACTCACCAGAGAGGTTTGGAGGTGGTCAGACAATGCGACTATGTATCTATCAGTCAGGTGGCCTATAAAATGCCAATATACAATACATAAAATCGATGCACCTCTTAGAAATACATGTAGTGATGGTATTTCCATCAAGACTCGAGGTGCATCAATTTTTGGTCAAGATCTTGTATTGTCCATCACTCTGTAAAGTCTCCTCCAGCACATTCCAATTCAGCCTTTCAATGGATTTATTGTCTGTACCCAGAGGTGCCAATTCATCTGTGAAAATGATTCTTCAAATGATATGCTCCTGTTCATAGAGATTTTTAGATGGGTGCTGAGGCTTTTTAGGTTGGGTAGAATCTGCGATCTCGGACCCAGTTTGTTCGCTGGCTTCCATGGCTGCAATTTGCTGTGTTTTCTGCCAACTAACAACCATGGTGGCGAAATACTATTGGGTAAAATGGCAACTTGCGGTACGCTATCACACAGACCAAAACAAAAACAGACATTCCAACAAGATTATGTGAACTTGGCATGTTTCCTAAATATCTGCAAACATGTTATGGTATTTTTATCATTTAGTACAGTCAAAAACTTGACGTAGGCTATGGCACCTTTAAGGTTCAACATTCCTCTGTCACAGGGGTCTACAACATTACTGCTGGAGAGCTACCGCCCAGCAGATCTCAGCTCTAAGCCTTATCAAACCCACCTGAAGCAGACAATCAAGGTGTTCAGTTAGTTGAATGAGGCAGGTGTGTTGGAGCAGGGTTGGAACGGAAGTCTGCAGGATGGTAGACCCCAGGAGCAGGCTTGGAGACACCTACTCTATCATGTGAGGAAAAACAGACTTCTCAAACTACTTATTGTTGCTGTGATATAAACATCATGTGGTAAAGTGGTTGCCCTCAAGCACTGTGAGAGCCGGGTTGGGTATGGTGCAGCAATAACGAACAACATTCCACGACTCCCGTGAAATCCTAGACATTATTGCCTAGAGACCGGTGGCACATGGGCGTGAAAACCTTTCCTTCAAGAGGAATGTCACAGACTAGGGAGACGCGTCATGTTCAAATCTCCCTCTCTAGTCCACACAGACCATTTATAGAAACAAAGCTGCAAAAACTAGGTCGTCCAGAAATCAGTAATGTCATAATAACCATGAGCACATTAACATGACGACAAGTTTGACTACTTTATTAAGGCCTTTTCACTATTCAGCAAACTGATATATTCTGATAACAGTGTGGAATATGAAGAATGAGATTAGCCAATCATAACAAAAGTCATTTACATACCCAAGGAACTGCAAAAACACCCTGTTTCAAACTAATGCTGTTAAGTAAGGGGAGGGAAATCGAATGGTGCTGCAAAAAAGGGTGAAAAAGTATGGATCCAAATTAATTTAACAGAAATAAGCTTTAAAAAAAAAACATTTAGGCTATTCATTTAGCAGATGCTTTATCCAGGGTCAGTAATATTCCATTTTTTTGCTTTTAAAAGAATATGCTGAAAAAGGGAAGGATGCATTAAAATGGAAGTCTATAAACTTAAGGCATCTAGCTGTCTTATTTACTTAAAGGGTAACTAAACCCCTGGTCAGAGCCTGACTCCACCCACTGGCAATATTTGAAAAATGCTGGAAAAGTGGGCAGAGCCCAGCGGAGGGGGACGTGCACCTGAGACGCATCTCTTTGTATGGAACTAGAACTAGAAGAACACTTTATAAACAAATGCCAAAAAAGTTACTTGAGTCAATGACTGGTATTAATAAACATCCATTATTACAGATCATTAACTAAAAAAAGTTGGTTAAGTGTTTAGTTACTCTTTAATGGGACTGAGAGGGACCAGTTATACAGCACCTGCTGTGCAAGACACGTTTGGTGTGGCCTCTTTTTAAAAGATAAAGAGGTTCCAAAAATCATTTGGACAGAACACTAAAGCCAAGATTAGGGTTGGGTATCGAGAATCGAGTATCGATTGGAACCGGGACTAACTTTTAGTTTTTCCCGGAATCGTTCAAAAGTTAAAATTTCGATTCCTAGTTTCGATATTCACAGTCCGCCGAGCGGAAGAAGAAACCGCTGAACAACACCAACGAAGAAGCGTCTACCGGAAGTGTTGGCATAACCGCGCGAGTCGAACATGAGTAGCTTATGTCGGCGGTCCAAAGTGTGGCTTCACTTTTCTAAAAATAACGAAATCTCGGCAAAATGCAAAATTTGTGACAAAAGGAGTATTTCCTTCAGAAAGGATTATTTCCTTCTGAAAGACCCTTGGTTAGCAAGGTTAGCTAAACTTTTTTGACCCTGCCTCTTAAAAGAATCGGAATCGAGAATCGTTAGGAATCGGAATCGAAACAAGGAATCGGAATCGGAATCAGAATCTTTCAAATTCAAACGATACCCAACCCTAGCCAAGATAGATAAACTCTTTCTCTTTATCAGTAAACATTTAACAACCAATCACCCCTTCATAAATGTCTTTTTATACTTTGATGTCAAATATGTAGGTTAACTCCAATTTACAATTCAAAAATGTTAGCTGGGGCATAACCAGGTGATGCCAAACCACTTCCACCATTGAAATATGACTAACAAATGTGCATGCTACATGCTTTCAATCCCAATTTCAATACCATTTCACAACCAAGTCCAGTACTGCCAACAAGCGCATCAAGTGCATCTGAGGCACAGTAGTAAGTTACTAGATGGTCATCTGAGAAGTGGTCAGTGTTGTGAAGATCTTCAGCAAAACGAAGGTATCAAATATCATCTCCTCTTAGCAACCAGATCCAAACTCACCTGCACTGCCACAACACAGTCGAAAGAGAGAGTACCGGTATTCACCTGTATTCATACCGCTTACATTAACTCTTTATTAGTTCTAATTAATGATACTTGCTCTAGGCCCTGTTTTGGTTTTAAAACGCAGAACTTTTGCCACTGCTGTCTACACTATGACTTTTGGAAATGCAGCAGAGCAGACCCCGTTTTAGTTTGAAAACTTTCAGTGAAGACAGACCAAAACAGAGACTTTTAAAAAAGGAAGGCGTGCTAAAAAAGGTATATTCGCTCCCTGATTGGGTCTTCTGGACCATTGTGTATCCTTCCCTGATTCGCTAAGAACATAACGCTACAGTCCGTTTAAACAATAACATTTGTTGAATTTGTTGTCCTTTTTAGCAGCCATTGTGCAGTTAAACTGCATTTTATAATAGGCACGTTTTACAAGAGGCACGGTATTAGAGCATTCAGCAATTGTTTACAATTGTAAACGCATATGGTCATGTGACATGCAAGATCTTTTCTGAAACGCAGTGGATTTAAAATGCCATCGCACTTGTGTAAACAGCGCCTTGCACAAGATTAAAGGAGAACTCCGAGCCAAATTTTGAGTGCTGTCAGTACAGACAAAAACGACAAAAATCGGTGTCGCCTACACCGTGTTATCCTCTTTTTAAAATTTGCACCCTGTTGACTTCAATGGGGCATCTTCTAAACCTGCTTTTAGCCTCTTAAAATCCTTGATTTGTCATTACGAGTGCATAGCTATGTGAGTGGTGTTACCACGGTCAATCTGACTGCAGTAGATGTGAAAGATATGAATAAAAACGTGTCACGGATTGATGATGTAAAACCCCAGACGAATCTTCTTGCGTGCATTCTTTTTTAACCCGACGTGTTATTAAGAGTGACCACGTCAATCTGACTGCAGTAGATGTGAAAGATATGAATAAAAATGATGTTAATTCACCCAGCTCACATACCTGTATTTACTTCCTGTTTTTGGTCAAAGCCCACAGTAGTCGATTGTCGATCTCACGCGCGTGATCATTGGTGAATATCATCTCAAACCTCATCCATGTGTTCAACATCTGATTCGGATGAACTATCCATTTGAGCTGATATTCTCAGAACACCACACAGTGGTAGGTTTGAGATGATATTCACCAATGATCACGCGTGAACTCGACAATCGACTACTGTGGGCTTCGACGAAAACAGGAAGCAAATAGAGGTAAGTGCGCTGGCTGAATTAACATCATTTTTATTCATATCTTTCACATCTACTGCAGTCAGATTGACGTGCTCACTCTTAATAACACGACGGGTTAAAAACGGATGCACGCAAGAAGATTCGTCTGGAGTTTTACATCATCAATCCGCGACACGTTCAGTGACGTGAGCTGCATTTATATGGGATAAAAATGGCGGCTAGTAAGCAAAAATAATCTCTACTGTTGATTCTAATTACTGCTTTTCTTGAAATTAAACTAAGAAAATGTGTGTAAGTGGTGATTTGTTGTTGTCTCACTAATTGCGTCATCAGGTTCGGTTCTCCTATTGGTTTTTCCTCTGATGGTTGTCGTTGGTGAAGTCACACTACAGGACTGTGCCTCAAATCTTCTGAAACTGACAGAATTTCATCTGAGGTAAAATTTGATCACATCGGTCATTAATTGGCTGTCGGCGAACATGTCAAACTAGCGATCAAAGACTTCAGATTTTAGGATCAGAGATATTTATCTCGGATGACCAAATCATTGTCAAAATCAACAGTGTAAATGAACCTGGCTTTACATTGAAGGATGAAACCGAGAAATATCAACCAGCCAGAACAAGCTACAAAGCAACGTTCAGGTAACCTCTCTCAACACACTAGCATTGTGTTGAGATTTGCACGGGCAAGCACCAACATGGCTTGTGTGTGAAAATCTGTGAAGACAAAAGGCAAGTGACAAACCTTTAACATGGAAAGGAGGAACCAGTAATTAACTACGAACATCAGACACTTAAACCAAAAACAAAACAAGTTTGGAAAGTATCCTCTTCCCTTTTCCACTTGTGATCAAACTCCACTGCTTGCGGAAGTGAAGGAACAGGCACATTTTTCAGACACACCTACCAAGACTACTGAATAGAGCCCCATCATTTACCCATAATCCCTATTATACATCACTTGAAGAGCCTGGGTGTGATCAGACTTGCTTGGCTGGTCCATCACCTCGTGCTCAGGGTGTGGTAATAGAGACATGAATCACATACACCTGTAGTTGGACAATCATGAAGAATCAACCCCACAGGGAAGTTGGAAATCAATTCACACTCTGACTGAACAGCCAACACTATCCTATTCTTAATACTAGTGATATTTTGTCACAACATGGTGCATTTTATGTGTTCAGTCAGTGCATACTCTACAAACCAGAATGAAATCTAAATCACATTGTATTTGTGTTTTAATCTTGCTTGGTGCATATTTCCTTTCCTCTAAATGAGTTTTTGAAATAAATGTCATTGAATATGCCCCACTGATCTCTCTGTAGATGCGCTGCAGCATTTTGCTTAGCACTATTTATAGTGTTAAAGGGATAGGGTAATTCACACAAAAATGAAACTTCTACCATGGTTTACTCGCCTCATGTCATTTTTTCAAACTCATAAGACTTTGAAGCACAAATTAAGATCTGTTAAATCAAATGAATTTGAATGAAACCTAAGAGAGCCTAAAAATCAAACCCGTTGATATGAATTCCTTTTGCAGTGCGTTTAATTAAAAATATCTTAATTTGTGTTATAAATATTAAAAGAAGTCTTATGCGTTTGGAATGACATGATAAAAATGATCTTGAATGCTAGAAATAAATTTACATTTTCAGGTGAAGCATTCATTTAAATACCATGGAGTGTGAGCTGTGTGTGACCCTCTTATTAAGCACAGGTGTGTACTTACCCCTAAACACAACCATCACAGAAAACCTTCTGCATTTTTACATTTTCAAAAAACATCACTTGGTATGATTTATAAGCTGGTTTCCTCATGGGGGCCAAAAAATGTCCCCACAAGGACAATGATTTTGGATATTGCTATCCTCTTCAATGGCTATTCGTGCCCTAAAACTACACAAAAGATCCTTATTAATCAAACAATGTCTACAACCAACTTCAAGTCCAGTCATCTAGTAAAGTAACCTGCATGGTCACCATTCAAACCCATTGCTTATTCTTAGTTCTGGCCTTCAACAGATAGCACATAATCCACAGGATTATCTCAAAGCATGTCAACCCACTATCTTCCCAATCACCCATAACAATCTGTAGTCCCATGTCACCAGCACACCTATCTGTGCCCTAATTTAGGCAAAACATCTTATTCTTTACAAAATACACTCGTCTGCCTTCCTATCACACTGAGAATCTGATCTGTGTGAATGTGTAAATGTCATGTTGGCTGATGCGAGATCGTGTTTGTTTGTTTGTTTGTGTGTGAGAGAGATTAGTGTGGTCATTACCCGAGCACTAATGTGTTTAGTGTCCATGCAAGTGTATAAAGGATGAGAGACGTGCATGGTCACGTCTATTAAGCAGAGATATGTGTGTTTGTATGTATGTAACGTTATGTCATTGGATCCCGTGAACAGAAGAGGCCTGAGATGATCATTGTTGGAATGCGATACCATCAATACATTGCTCAGCTGTCAGAGCATCCGAACCCTCTTCATAGCAAAGTAGCTAACACCGCGCTTCTGATGGTTTAACATTACTATATGCACGCGAGTCTGCATGAATATGTAAATCAATCTTCACCGCAATACGTAGCCTAACATAGACACAATAAACACTTACCTTATGCTGACGCAGCTGCTTCAGTCAGACTCGCAACATCCCATTTAAAATGGCGAAAAAATAGGTTATAGAAGAGGTAGATGCGGCAAGGCAAATATATAGCGATGATTATTTATTCTTCTATGTCGTTGTATGTTGCGGTTGCTGTCTCGCGCCGCCGTAGCTCTCAGCCCGGAAGTGATGGAAGCGTTGTCATGGTAGGGGCCGGCTTCTTGCCGCTCTGATTGGCTGAAGGCGGGTGGCGCGTGTTGGAGGCTGACGTGACATCACTCTCGGGTTACCAGCGGTCATTATCGATTTGATTGATTTATTTTTCAATTTGCATTGTTATTTTTTAGATGTTTGTATTTTGTAGGAGATCTCTTCTTTTTAGGTTACTTTTAGCGGTAGAGGGAAATGGTGATGTGTAACAGTGGATGGTGTTGTTGATTCTTTTGTCAGCTCGATGCAGCGCCCCGGACAGCTGGCAGGCGGCTAGCCATGGGGAAATTCGACTCATTTCCGAGAGTCGATTCTTTCGAGCAGTTCAAAGAACTAGTTCATAGAGCGATTTGTTATTAATTACGTCACTGTGTCATCTGACGTCCCAGCGTGGCATGCTCTAAGGTTCCTTTAAAGGGATAGTTCACCCAAAAATTAAAATGCTGTCATTTACTTACCCTCAAGTTGTTCCAAATTATGAGTTTCAGAAGAAGACATTTTGAAGAATGTCAGCAAATAAACAATTGATGGCCCCATTGACCTCCACATTCCATATGGGGGAAATACTAGGAATAGAAATATGTCAACTGCCTGGCTACCAACATTTTTTCAAAATATCTTATTTTGTGTTTAACAGAATTAAAAAAAAAAACTCATACAGGTTTGAAAAGACATGGGAGTGAGTAAATGGTCACAGATTTTTCATTTTTGGGTGAGCTTTCCCTTTTAAAAAAAATGCTGAAAAAGACGGATCTCGCGATTTAATGGATCATGAGTTGTTCACTCGAGAACCGTACGGACCGATTCAGTCCGATACTGAAAAGATCTGACTCAATAGAACGAGTCGTTCACAAAAGTGATTTCACTACAGCAGATTCCATTTACCTATTCTGGGAATGTAAGTTTCAAATATTCCCTCATGTAAATGGAAAGATATCCTATGTTACAAAGGCGAACGTTTTTGAAGCGATACCTTCACACCGTTCAGGTGCACATGAGGAAATTGGCATGGGTGGGATTATTCTTTTGGTAACTCAAGCGCCGCTGGTGTAGTGGTATCATGCAAGATTCCCATTCTTGCGACCCGGGTTCGATTCCCGGGCGGCGCACTGCTTTTTGAAGACAGATAGTTGACTCGTTTTGTATCCACAGTCACACACAAACTCAAATTTCGCTCAGTATCTCACCTGTGTGTCTTCGAACCGTTATAGCTATACATTATTAGCTTTATTCATTAGCTATAAATCTGGCATGCAGTCTCTTGATTAACTTCAGGCCAAAAACAATCTGCATGCATAAGTTTGAAATAGTTGGTAGTAGCCTACCTCACAGCACAACACAGGACATGTCAACACAAATGATACTGTATTTTCGTGCTTTTTTTTACTTTTACAAATATTCATCGTTTATAAGTGTATACATGATTTCGGTGGTTTGGCTTTCAGACATAATCAATCAACTTAGAACAGTGTAGGCCCAGCATACAGTGCGTTATAAAAAAAATGTATAAAGTAAAGAGTATAGCCAATATGTAGGCTTCTACACAACACAGAAAATCGATTTATTAAATTGTTTGTTTTGCAAGTTTTAAGTTGTACATTCACTGTGGGGTCCAATCTGATGCCACCAGAATGCTTCGTATCACATTTTTATATTTTATTTATACATCTTAACATTTATTTGTTGTAACTTTTGTTGTTGTTGTAAGTTCACACATTAAAGGTTAGCATAGGTTTAAATCACAACTTTTCAATGTGGTCTCAAGATTTTGGCTGCCATTTATAAAACAGGTTGTGCAGATTCAGGCGTAGTTTGCAAAAATAAATTGCTTCTGTCCTCTCTCCATCATATCATTATAAAATCTTAAACTTTCTTTGTGTGAGAGAAATCACAAAGGATTTTGCAAGCACAGTTGCTTACTTATTTGTACTTAGAATGTAAAGGAACAGTTATTAGTAAAACATTGTCTCCTTATTAGATCCTCTAGGGGGCACACAGCACCATCATTTGGACAAGTCTTTTAGGCCAGGGGTTTTCAAACTGGGGTCCGGCGAGGCGGCGACCTGCATAGGGATGCAAGGGAGTGCTCAGAGTGGGTCAGTTAAAAAATCTAAAGAAAAACAGGGTAAATATAAAAATAAATAATAATAATAATAATAAAATATTAAACTAAATAAAATGATTCAAATAAAACATTGATTAAATAAAATAAAACGTATTAAAATAAATTAAATAAATAATAAATCTACAGTACATCACAGTAATAGGCTGTAGTGATTAGAAAAAATGTTTTCTAAATACAATTTTATGCATAGTTATAATATCATTTTAATGTATTAATTTAGCATTTTTTATACATGAAAATACCTTGCTGCCTTTTTTTATATTTTAGGATTGGAGACTCGCATCGAGATGATTGTATTTGGTGGTTCATGCGTCTAAATTAAGATCGAAAACCCCTGTTTTAATTCATGTTGTACTGATGTGAGACCAGTAGATGTCGCTCTCGCTCACTTGCTTTGGAAATGCACCTGTTGGCGCGCAAGATCCACAAACTTCAGGTGTGTTGGTTTACATTTATAGCCTATATACTGCATTGTACTTGTGGAAGTGAGTTTGCAGTCTGATTTGATTATGATAAGATAAAAATACTATGTATTGGCAAAATAACAACAAGAAACGTCTTTCTGAGTTGTTCTCGTGAGTTCCGCGGAAAATCAAGCAGCCTACCGCGCGACACGTGTGTCGGATTCACGAGCTCGACCAAAATTATTTTTGAGCAATGAAACACGAGGCCAATACAATTGCTAGGCAGGCCTATTTGCTTTTTCTGTTCTTTAATTAATTTTAAGATGTGTAGATAAAGCAGGTGTTGCCCTATTGCATAGAAAGCTGGCTACTGGCTAGGCATGCCTATTAATTAGGCAAAATATGCTTTTTTTTTTTATCAGAATCCAAGTCAAGTCATCTTTATTTATCTAGTGCTTTTGGATTGTATCAAAGCAGAACATGAAAATAATACAACAAAGATCAATAATATTATTGAATATTAAATGTCCCCAACTAAACAAGCCAAAAGCCAAGGCAACAGTGGCGAGGAACCAAAACTCCATCAGGGACAGAATGGAGGAAAAAAATACCTTGGGAGAAACCAGGCTCAGTCAGGGGCCAGTTCTCCTCTGGCCAACGAAGGAACAGTGTGTGATTTGGGCAGCATTACAAGTCAGATTGGATGGGGACATTTAGAGTATTTGTCCATTTCCATCTGTTTGGAAGTCGAAGTAATCACGCCGGTATGGAGACGAGATGTTGAGGATCAGTGCCGATGGCTGTAGTGTCACAGGGCTGATGTGGCTGGCAATTCAGGATGAGTTGGGATGGGTCCAGGCACAGGTCCACCATAGAGGGTCCCTCGGAATAAACAGAGAGACTAATATTAGCGTAGATGCCATCCTTCGATTTACGAGACGTGTTTCCGGTTCAGCCTAATTTTGAATTAAGGAACTCTATAGTGTGTTATGTGTATGCTAGGCCAAAGAGATGTGTTTTTAGTCTAGATTTGAACTGACAGAGTATGTCTGCTTCCCGGACAATGTTAGGAAGATTGTTCCAGAGTTTTGGTGCTAAATAGGAAAAGGATCTACCACCAGCAGTCGATTTTGATATTCTAGGTATTATCAACTGGCTGGAATTTCGAGATCGCAATAGACGTGAAGAACTGTAATGAGTCAAGAGCTCGCTCAAGTACTGCGGAGCTAAACCATTTAGTGCTCTGTAAGTAATCAGCAATATTTTAAAATGTATACGATGTTTAATAGGCAGCCAATGCAGGGTTGACAGAACCGGTCTAATATGGTCTGGTAAGAACTCGAGCTGGAGTGTTTTGAACCAGCTGAAGTTTGTTTATTAAGCGTGCAGGGCAACCACCCAGTAGAGCATTACAATTATCTAGTCTTGATGTCATGAACGCATGACCTAATTGTTCCGCATTCGTCAATGAGAGCATATGGTGTAATTTAGATATATTTTTAAGATGGAAAAATGCAGTTTTACAGATACTGCACGCGACTTTGAAATGAGTGATTGGTATCAAAGAGCACACCCAGGTTCCTAACCGATAACGAAGACTTAACAGAGCAGCCATCAAGTGTCAGACAGTATTCTAGGTTATCATGTGTGGAAGTTTTTTGTCCAATAATTAGATTTTTTTTTTTTTTTCAGAATTTAATTGTAGGAAATTACTAGTCATCAAATTTTTATATCAGCTATGCATTCCGTTAATTTTGTGAATTGGTAAGTTTCATTAGGTTTTAAAGAAATATACAGCTGGGTATCATCAGCATAACAGTGAAAGCTAATTCCATGTTTCATAATGATATCTCCCAAGGGCAGCATGTACAGAGTGAATAGCAGCGGTCCTAATACGGAGCCTTGTGGTACGCCATACTGAACTTGTGATCGATAAGACATTTACTGCCACAAACTGATAACGGTCAGATAAGTATGATTTAATGCTAATGCAATTCCACTAATGCCAACATAATTTTCTAGTCTATTTAAAAGAATGTTGTGGTCAATTGTGTCAAATGCAGCACTAAGATCGAGTAACACTAATAGAGAGATACAACCACGATCGGACGATAAAAGAGCAAATCATTTGTGACTCTAACGAGAGCTGTCTCTGTACTATGGTACGGTCTAAATCCTGACTGAAAATCCTTGCAGATATCATTTCTTTCAAGAAAGGAACACAGTTGTGAGGATACTGCTTTTTCCAGTATCTTTGACAGAAAAGGCAGATTCGAGATTGGCCTATAATTGACCAATTCTGTTTTTTTTTTTTTTTTTAAACAAGTGGTTTATCATAGCTAGCTTAAAGGTTTTTGGTCCGTATGATATTAAGAAGAGGATCTATAACATTCGGAAGCATCTCTTTCAGTAGTTTAGTCGGTATAGCGTTTAGCATACAAGTTGTTGAT